TCTCTAGGCCTTACGGTCTGTTCTCCACAACACGTTTTTCAGGAGAAAAAGAATAATAATAATAAGAAGAAGAAGAAGAAGAAAAACCCGAGCTAAAACAATAGGGTCCTACGCACTGCGTGCTTGGACCCTAATAATAAAAAGCTACTTTAGTGATTGCGTTTACATGCGGGATAAAACAGAGCTCAGAGTCTAAGACTACACCCAGGTTTCGCACTTTAGGTTTGGTATATGAAGCTAAAGAGCTAAGCTTCTCATAAACATTTTTCTCTGAGTTTTAGCACCAAAGGTCAGAATTTCATTTTTTTTCATGTTTTAGTTGTAGAACATTTTGTGATATATTACCTGAACTCACCCTATGTGTTTTCAAGGCAGCCAAAGCCTATGTATAGCCTTATTTACTGACTCTGCTCTGTCTGTGAACGTACCCCGTAATGCATGGACAGCATGCACTGTGTAAGAAGAGGAGAGACCATGTCGCAAACAACCCAGAAAACTGAACTGATAAATTCATATTCCATCTCTGGAAAAGCTTGGACATTTGGTAAAATGCAATAAAAACAAGAGCCTGTGATTTGTTAATTCTCTTAAACCTTTATTTAACTGGCAATAATACCAAGAAAAGATTTCCAACATGATTCCAATTAGTAAATATACACAAATTTAGAATTTGATGCCTGCAACACACTCAAAACAGTTGGGACAGAGGCACGTTTACCACTGTGTTACCTTCCACCTTTGTAGTCACTTTTACTTCATCTGCTCACAGTCTGTGGTCATCATTGTCTGATTCTTCTCTTCCTGATGCACCATATATTTTCAATAAGAGACAAATCTGGACTGAAGGCAGGCCAGTCATGCACACGCACTCTGAGTCTACAAAGCCGCCATTTTGAAGCACATGCAGAATGAAGCCTGACATTGTCTTGCTGAAATAACCATGGGCTAAAATCCCAATAACCGCCTTCACATCAATGGTGCCTTCACACATATTCAAGTCACTCATGCTGTATGTACTGATGCACCTCCTTAACAAGACAGATGTTGGCTTTTGCGCTTTTCCCAGATAAGTCTGAATGGTCCTTTTCGTCTTTGTCACAGAGAACTCAACGTCCGTTTTTACCAAAAAATAGCTGAAATGTGGAATCATCTGACCACAGCACACACTTTCTAAAATGTGTGCTTTGGTCAGCACACATTCTTTGTGTGCTGACCACACACAAAATTCTTTGCAATCTTGTGTTGAGAAATGTTCTTTTAGAACTGTTTAACAATTCTCTTACGAAGTTTGGCACAAAGTGGTGACTCACAATCCATCTTTGCTTGCAAAGAGCCTTTTGGTGGTTCCTTTTGTACCAAATCATGATATCCTCACCTGTTACCAACTCACCTGTCTATTGTCAAAACTGTGTAACTTGAATATTCTATAAATTTTTTACTCTTATGTTACCCTGTCCCAGTTTTTTTGAGTGTATTGCAGGCATCAAATTCAAAATTTGTTTATATTCACAAAATACAATGAAGTTCATCAGCCAAAACATTAAAAATCATTTCTTTGTACTTTTGTCGGTAAAATAAAAGTTCAAGAGAAAAATCACAGATCACAGAGTTTTTATTGCATTTTGCAAAATGTAAAATCTTTTCCAGAAATGGGGTTTGTAGTTATCTAAGGAAGCCATGCAAAGAGGGTGGAAAGAAAACAGAGAAAGACTGATGTGGGGGAAAGGTTATGGCCACCAAGATTAGCTAATGCTGCCTTTCTAATGTACACCACATACAGATATGTTTATTGGCACACACTTCCTTTTTCCATCTTAATAATAATAATAATAATAACAACAACAACAACAACGACAACAACAACATTAAATATAGTCATTTCATACCTTTTCTACCTTTTAATAGTAACAGAAGAAATTAGAGTTTGATTGTCTTTTATCATTCTATCATCAGCCCTTATGCTGTTAAACCAGGACCAGGAAATACCAAAGAACAGCTCACAACACAGAACACGGTTAGATTCAGGTTCCACTCAACATCACTCCAACACCAGTCACTGAACTTTGACTCTCAGATATGAGATATGAGTCTGTATTCCCTGAACATGTGTCATTTGTGCATCACACATCACATGTGGCACTTGTATTAGATCAGCTAGCAGGTCCAAACACCACAAAACAGGTTTAATTTCAGCTTTGTTGCTCCAACACCAGTCATTTGACTTGTCCCTCTCAGACATAAGATTTTACTATCTTGTATATATTACTGTGTAGATTTTATGTAATGCAATTGTTCTTATGAAGCCTTATGGCTAACCGACGCCCATATTGGCTAGAATCGAGCTGAATGATGGAGGAGAAGGAGCAAGCCCAATTATGCTCTCTTTGACTCCTCACCACAAATGGCTGTGGCATCACTGAAAATCAAACTTGAGATTAACAGCAATGCCACTTGGGAGCCTGATTTTTTTTTTTTCCTCAGTTTTAGAAAAACACTGATTATTTTTACTAGCCTTTTGAATATGTAACTCTTCACACCTACAACTTTTGTTATTTTGCTTTTATACTACAGCAGAAAGGGCAGACTGCATATCTACATCCATATTGGCACTTCACACTGACATTCAAAACGACCAATCACACAACATTTTGCATGTGTGTACAATGTGTGTACAGTGGCAACAAAGCCACATGCGATAAAACACCATCTAGCAAACACATGACTGCAGCTCAGTTACTTGATACCTACAGTTTTAAACAAAGTTCAAACCTACAGTTTCAAACAAAGAATAACTTAAAACAGGATGGACTGTTTCGTGGTCCAGTGATTAGGCCTATATCTCACTCTCAAAGGCTTATTGGTGTGTAGGATGCAACTGTTTGCTACTAGCATAAAAGCTTTGATAGCCAGAGCCAGTTAAAAGAGGTGAGATTCTGTAAGCTGATTTTAGCATGCAGTTTACAACAGACATTCAGTGAACTTCTATGGGCAGAGTGCCTGAGGCTGAAACTTGCTGAAACACAACAAAACATTTTGCCCAAGTCTGTAAAGAGATTTTGCATCTGTGAAATTGGAATTCATTAATTCAGACAAACAATATTAGATCAAACTAACATAAAATTAGTGGCAAAATTAACTATTTGGCCCATTGTTGAGAGGCAGAAATGCACTGGTGACTTCAGTAATAACAAACGTACACGACTGAACAGCACTAACTACGATGTAGGCACAGATAGTCAAATACTATGTAAAGAGAAAATATCCCATCATGAAGGCTTCACCACCAAGTGCAAATGTCTGACAAGCCTTAACAAGAGAAGGGCCAGGCTGCAGTTTGCAAAAAGGTACATTAATAAGATTGTACATGCTCCAATACACATTCTGACTGATAGTCAAGGTAGTGTCATGGCTTGGGAACTTCCTCACTTTTCTTTTCTGTTGACATAACTGGAGTCAGCAGCAGAATGAATTCTGAAGTGCACAGAAGCATCTTAACTGCTCAGAATCAACCAAATTTGTCTCACTCGACAGCACCTGAACTTGCAGCAGCATAAATATCCCAAACTTACAGCTAAAGCAAATATGGAAACTTGCTGAAGCAAAATGACAAAAAAATGAAAACGGCTGCATCAAAGGTGGGGTTGGGCATGAACAGAGAATATGCTCTTGTGAGTGCAGACTAAAATGACCATTTTGTTCAAAATTGCATTCCTTTGTACCGAATACTTTTCATCTCCTTAAAAAAGGATGTAGTTAATGCAACACAGACATAAATAACTTTAAACTGAAGCTGAAATGCTTTCCTTTAACCTCACTGCCATTTTTAATTTCTAATTTAAATGTGCTTGAGTATAGAGCCAAAACAGCAAAAGTTGTATCACTGCCAAAGGACTGCACTGTAGATTTTTATTATTTTTTATTTAAAATTGTTCAAAAGGAGCAATTTCAATCTCTTAAAGAAGTGGCAAGATACTTTAAAGCATTAATATTTCGTAGCTTTTAAAATGTCATTTAATAAATATTAATAAATTAACTTTGACAAGGTTCTGTAGGCATGATAAGCATATGTTGCGGCTCAACATTTAGTTAGACATTATTTTTTCTAAATCCAAATTATAAAGAACAAAGCCGAAAAGACAAAGGCCAAAAACCATACCTGAATGGCACTACGTTAAAAACTGGTGTTTCTGTGATGGATTTTTCAATTAAGCTTGTGCCTTATACCAGCTTTGTCAGCACTTAACCTTTTATATTTTTAAGACTTTTACATTTTTAGCAATTTACTGTAGGCTAACAAGTTTAGACTGTCAGCTTAGACTGACGGAGAGTGTGCCTCATTTTAAAAAATGTAAAATTGTCAAATTGTCGTAAAATAGATATATTTTGTTTTGGAAAGAACTCACAGCATATTACATGAGGTTTACAGATTTGCTTACTTCAACATGACAACGCTATGCTACATTCTACAAATTACAACAGCACTGCAGCCTAACCAGAGTGTGTGGGTATTAGACTGGCCTGCCTGCAGGCCAAACCTGTCTCCCCTTGTTAATGTGTGGTGCTTTATGAAACACAAAACAGGACAACGAAGGCCACACATGGGTGCACAACTGACTTCTAAAAGTAAAAAATTCTGCTTTCAAACCTGAATCAACTGGTGTCTTTAGTCCCCAAATAATTACTGAGTGTTGTTAGAAGGAAAGGTAATATGACACAGTGGTACATGCCCATGTGCCAACTTTTTTGCAATATGTTGCAGGTGTCAAATATGGAATAAGAGTATATTTAAGGTTAAAAAAGGTAAAACATTAAATATATTTTTGCATCTTTTCAATTGAATACTTGTCACACACCTTACTAATCACTGTTCTCTGCTTTTATTAGCATTTCACATACTGTCACAACTTTTTTGGAATTGAGCTTTGTGTATTATAGTAAAGGAGTTAACAGAGCTAGAGATACAAAGAGGTTCTGGAGCCTGTCAACCCAACCAGACTCACCCTCTCCAGATCCTGTCTCAGGTGAGTAAAGAGCTTTAGACGGCGATATAGCACATCTTGCTCCTGTTGAGCCAGGTTGTCCACCTCATCTCTCTTCAGAGTCACAAGTGGATGGTTAAAGTTAGCCCTGCGACGGAGTTTCCAGAACTGGTAGAGGAAATCCACATGGGCATCTGGCAAGCCAAGGTTCTCAGTAACATCTTTGGGATCCACCAGGTGGTAAAATTCATCTTCCAGTTCCTGCAGCTTCTGCTTGCGCTGGCTGGCCTTTTCTATTCCTGTTTGGTCCTGGTCTATTTGTTCACCCTTTGATTGTCCCACATTTGTGTGTCTTGATTCAAACTTATCTACACTTCCGCTGTTTGGGTGTGAGACACTGCTATGCTCCAAGCAGTAGGACTTGAAGTGCACCTCATCATTTTCTGCAAGGATGGTACGCATCTCCAGGCCATGTTCAAAGGCGCAGGTCACATGGAAGGCAATGATGCAGGACGGCATGGAGCACTGAATAAAGCAACAAGCAACAGAGAAAAACACCATTGACCATTTTTCCTACAGAAAACTATTTATACATACAAACTCACCAAGCACTTTATTAGGAACATCTCCTTGTATTTATGCTCATTGTCCATTTTATCAGCTCCACTTACCACACAGGAGCACTTTGTAGTTCTAAAATTACTGATTCTAGTCCATCTGTTTCCCTGCATTCTTTGTTAGCCCCCTTTTATCCTGTTCTTCGATAGTCAGGACCCCCACAGGACCACCACAGAGCAGGTATTATTTAGGGTGGTGGATCACTATCAGCACTTCAGTGACACTGCTGCGGTGGTGGCGCATTAGTTTGTGTATGTATATATATACATATATATATATATATATATATATACCTGTATGCATGTGCCTGTATGTTCTTGGCACAGGCTACAGGACAGGGCCCATCGACTGGCAGGAATGTGTGACACCTTGGTGATAGGCTCCATCTTCTCAGGGCAGCCAATACTTACCTGCACCAAAGCAATGAAAACACAACACATAAAAACAGCGCTGTACTCAATACTCAATTAACTCTTCATCCTATGGCAAAAACATTCAAAAGCAAACTAGATATAGTAGACTCATTCTATAGTAAAGGAACATCTCTCTACATCTGGTGCAATACTACTAAAAGTGTCTACCAAACAAGATTTAATCACACCAAACCAAGTGGTAATAGGATCACACGTTTATGGTAATAGGATGACACGTATTATGTGTGATTCTCATAAATGACATCACTAAACAGGTAAATGCTCATTATAATGCCTAAACTAAGAAAGTAGTAAAGGCCCAAATTCCAATACAGTCATGTGAAGAAGTACATGCCATGAAAAGTACCTTTTGAAACATATTTGTAGATACAGATATCAAACATCCTTTTACACAGTATTGACAGATAAAGGTGATGTAATTTAAAAAGCGACACCTAGAATTAACATTTTTGTAATCCTTTAATGACTAAAATGAACAGCAATGTAACTTTCTTATGTGTAAAAAGTAAGCACACCCATGCATATATCACTAATTCAAGCGTGTTAAACTGAATTAGGTGCACCTGATCGGGTGGTAATAATTAGAACATGGTTAGAGAACATCTTGGAGGAACTTGTTTTATTTAAACCTCAGATATCTGGTCTGGTTTTCTATTTGTTATTGGAGTGTGTGGTATCATGCCTAAATCAAATGAGCTCTCTGAAGCCAGCAGAAAGAAAGTTGCAGATGCCTATGAGTCTGGAAAGGGGTTTAAGAAGATAGGCTAAACATTGGAAATCAATCATTCCATTGTCTGGAACATCATAAGTGGAGACGATTTAAAACCACTGCCAATTTGTCCAGGCCAGCCTGTCCCAGCAAATTTAACCCAAGAGCAGACTGTAAGATGCTAAAACAAGTCTTTAAGAACCTTAACATTTCATTACACGGTCAGCTCTTGCCAATTCATTAAGTTGTTTCTGACCTAAGGGGCAGTACCAGTTACTGAAGCCAGGGGTGTACTTACTATTTCAACTGACAAAAATAGTATTTCGGTTTAATGGTTTTTAGGTAACTGATTGCAAGTCAAATGTTTTTATTCTATTACATAAAATTTATCTATACATACTGTTCAACTGAAGATCAAATACTGATATCCACATGTCATATTACTGTAGGTAGTGCATGAACCTATTCCAAGCACACTTTGGTTAAGTCCACCACAGACTATATAGCTTTACAATAACATTTTTCTGTAGCGTGTCCATTCATTGTTTTGTGTTTCCTTTGCATTATTTTATGTGTCATTGCATTACTATTTTAGCAATGGTAATCTTTTCAGTTTCTGTTTTTTTTTAATTGCCTCTTTCTCCCTGAGTGAGTGGAGAAACATGATGTGCAAATGCTTCTAGACAGGCATACTATAAAATACAATTAATTAATTATCAGCTTACTATGCTCTGTGGCATGTATACAAACTCTTGATCACGATTTTACGACCAAGATGACATATATGTATATATATGTGTATATATATATATATATATATATATAAACCGCTTCTGGGTCGCAGTGGGGTGCTGGAGCCTATCCCAGCTGTCATTGGGCAGAAGGCAGGATACACCCTGGACAGGTCGCCAGTCCATCGCAGGGCAGACAGACAGACATACACAGTCACACACACACACTCACACCTAGGGGCAATTCAGTATGTCCAATCAGCCTGACTGTATGTTTTTGGACTGTGGGAGGAAACCGGAGTACCCGGAGGAAACCCACGCAGAGACGGGGAGAACAGGCAAACTCCACACAGAAATGACCCTGGCCGCCCGGCCAGGAATCGAACCCAGGCCGTTCTTGCTGTGAGGCGACAGCGCTACCCACTGCGCCACCGTGCCGCCATATATACCGATCAGGCATAACATTATGACCACCCCCTTGTTTCTACGCTCATTGTCCATTTTATCAGCTCCACTTACTATATAGGTGCACTTTGTAGTTCTACAATTAGCCCCTTTTTATCCTGTTCTTCAGTAGTCAGGACCCCTGTGGACACTCACACAGCAGGTACTATATGGGTGGTGGATCATTCTCAGCACTGCAGTAACACTGATGTGGTGATGGTGTTGTGCTGATCTGAGTGGATCACAAACAGTAGTGCTGCTGGAGTTTTTAAACACTGTGTCCACTCACTGTCCACTCTATTAGACACGCCTACCTTGTCAGTCCACCTTGTAGATGTAAAGCCAGAGACGACAGCTCATCTGCTGCTGAACAGTTTGTGTTGGTCATCCTCTAGTCCTTCATCAGTGGTCACAGGACGCTGCCCACAGGACGCTGCCCACAGGATGCTGTTGGCTGGATATTTTTGGTTGGTGGACTATTCTCAGTCCAGCAGTGACATTGAGGTGTTTAAAATCTCCAGCAGCACTGCTGTGTATGATCCACTCAGACCAGCACAACACACTAACTCACCACCACCACCACATCAAAGTTACTGCAGTACTGAGAATGATCCAATGATCCAACACCCAAATAGTACCTGCTCTGTAAGGGTCTTAATCATCTTAATGGTGTTAGATAAAATCTGTGCAAGAATTTCCAGTGTATTATTTGGTGATTTGGGTTTCTTGAAGATAAATAGATGATTTCCCAAGCATGGCCTATAAAAAAAACTCTTGATCCTCCAATATAAGATCTTTAGACCAGACTGAGCACACTCCGAGCGGTGTGTAAGATGCCCTAAGTAAGAAGATATAAATATTGGAAGCCGAACAGGCCTTTTATTAGGATTAACCACTTTAAGCATTGGATATATAACTATTAACTATAACTTAGAGCTCAGGGATGCTCCATAAGATCGCAGGGCAGATCTGAGCTGCAAATACCTAAAGAAAGAGGTGCTAGGTAAATTAAATTGCTCTCTAACATCCCAAAAGGATCTTAATCCATTTTCAACAAAAATATCACCTAAAATGTGAACTCCTCGGCCCTCCCATTGGGTGCAGTAAAACGGAGAATTCTCTATCAACAGATTATGATTGTAAAAGTGGGGAGTGATAATGCCATTTTATATTTGAGTTTGATCTCTTAATTGCTGTTCACCATGTTGATATGAGGTGAGATATTATAGGTCCAAAGTACAGTTTACAGTGCTGAGTAGGAACAGTACAAAATATAAGATCTTGTAACCTATAAGGAACTATAAGAGATTCCTCCACTGAACGCCAAGAGGTTGAAATATTTGGATTTAGCCGAACTGACAAGGGTCACAGAGTGAAGGCTTGAGCATATATTTTAAAATTTGGAAACGCAAGACCACCATCAGACTTTGATCTATGCAAGGTGGATAATTTTATCCAGGGTCGTTTGCCATTCCAAATATATGAGGACAGTGTTTGAGAAAGTGTAGTCCAATACTCTATGGATGGAGGTAAAGGAATCATGTAACTAAAGAAATTAATTCAAACTAAAATATTCATGTTCACCACCGCAATCCTGGCCTGTAACGAGGTAGGTAATCGTGAGCAACTATAGGTATCAATTTTAATTTGCTTTAGTATACCACTGATGTTTTTGTTGATTATATAATTCAAAGGAGGGCATATCTCCACCCCAAATATTTAAAATGACTAATCACTAAAATAAGTACTAAGAGCAAGCCTGGGTTTGACTCAAAATTTAATTGGAGGAATGCAATTTATCTTATAACCAGAGAATTTACCGAAATCATCAAATACCTTATGCAGATGGGAAACAGAATCTATTGGGTTGTCTAAAAACAGCAGAATGTCATATGCATATAAGGAAATGATTCTGGGACTCCTTTACTCTAATAGGTGAAATAAGTCAATTTGCGAACAGCTTGGGCAAGGGGCTCTAACGTAGCAAACAGGAGGGCTGACAAAGGACACCCCTGGCGCGTGCCACAATCTAGTGGAAAAGACGCTGAACATTTATTACCTGAAAGGACTACTGTGGATGAGTTTGCTTACAGCATTTTTATATGGGAATAAAACCAGTGCCAAAACCAAAATGTTCTAAGGTGGACCACGATTCGTGCCACTCAAGTCGATCAAAGGCTTTCATGGTATCCAGTGACAGTATAGCCCAATGTGACTTAGAAGCTGAAGACATCTAATATTATTAGCCACCGATCATGATTTTATAAACCGGTTTGGTCACAATGAATGACTGCTGGTGTGATTACTTCTAAACGTTGAGCCAATACCTTTACAAATACTTTAATATATGTATTTATAAGTGAGACTGGGTGGTAATTACCGCAGGAAGTTGGGTCTTTGTCTTTCTTAAGTAATAATGATATTATTGCCATGTTCTCATTCTGAAGGAATTCACCCTTACCTATTGAGTAATTAATCATGTCCAACAACAGCGGCCCAAGCTCAGTCCAAAAATTCTGATAAAATTCTGCTGGAATCCCATCCCAACAGGGTGATTTTCCTTTTTTCATATGACAGAGTGCATCAAGCAACTCCAAAAGAGTGATATCTCAGTCTAAATAAGACGACTGATCAGCTGAAAGGAAAAATAATCTGTGGACTTACTTTGGTGGTCTAATATATATAGATATAGCAGCGGGACAACAACACCAACACTCCCAGTTTACCATAACACTCTATGTCCATGAACCCCCAGATCTGCACCTTTTATCTAACAGGGAAAACTAATTACCAAAGGCTTGACTAAACGAGTAAGTTTTTAGCCTAGACTTAAAGACTGAGGCTGTGTCTGAGTCTTGAACACTGACTGGAAGATTATTCCAAAGTTGGGGGGCTTTGTATGAGAAGGCTCTCCCCCCTGATGTAACTTTATTAATTCTAGGTACTAATAGTAAGCCAGCACCTTGTGATCTAAGTAGGCACGATGGTTCATAGTATGAGAGAAGTTCACTCAGGTACTGAGGGGTGAGTCCGTTTACAGCTTTATATGTCAGTAAAAGAATTTTGTAATCGATGCGAAATTTAACTAGTGTAGGTTTGATACAGTACAACAAGTTTAGTTTCCAAATCCAAAATTTTCTGATGATGCAGTTTCTGCAGCCTGGAGGCTTATGCAATAGAATTATCCCTGATGAATCCTTTTACGACTCCCCACAAGACTCTCAGTCCCTTAACCAAACCCTGATTAAGAAAAACATTCTATTAACTTACTTCTAAATTGAGTAAGTTTGCAGTAAGTTTGCATTAAAATGCCACCAGGGCACACAAGTTTGACCTATGGGAAATTATAATTTGCCAAAATGACAGTCTGAGAGTGATACTGGCCAAATGTTTATTGTGTCTATTTCAGAAAAAAAGTACTAGACATAAACAAAAAATCTATTCTGGAGTAAGATTTATGTCTTGTTAAAAAAAGTGTACTGTCTTACATCCGGATTGAAATGTCGCCAACAGTCTACCAGAGATCACGCGGTCATACACTGCTTGAGCTCTAGGCTAGCCACCCAGTGATAGGAAGAACCACCATCACTAGATCGATCTAACTCTTGACTTATGATGGTATTTATATCTGCTCCCACTGCCAATTCACAATCTGATAAATTAATTTTAATGAAGAAGGGAAAAAACTAGGCTCTCTTGGAGTAGGGGCATAGACTGAAATAAAAGCTAATTTCTTATTTTCTATATTGTTGTAATGTGTGCTATTCTTCCTTCTTAACCACTTCCTTGGTCCAAAATCTCAATCTGTAAATATCTCTTTACCAATACAAGTACTCCTTTAGATGCATTAACTGCTGCAGCGTAAGCAGCAACCCTGTAAAACCTATTGTTACATTTGTAAATAAACTCTTTCCTTTAATGAGATTCCTGAATCAGAGCAATATCAATTCCTTTTCTATAAAGAAAATCTAAAAAACTAGCATGCTTAAGAGGCATTCAGACCATTAATGATCCACCTAAAAACATTCAAAGCCATGTAAATTAAATTTAAGTTTTTAGCCTAGACTTAAAGACTGAACACTGACTGGAAGATTATTCCAAAGTTGGGGGGCTTTGTATGAGAAGGCTCTCCCCCCTGATGTAACTTTATTAATTCTTGGTACTAATAGTAAGCCAGCACCTTGTGATCTAAGTAGGCGCGATGGTTCACTGTAGCGTAGCAACTTGAAGATGAAGGTGCGGGGCCTGCCGTGATCCACCAAGGTTCTGGAATAAACGCGGTGGGCTCGCTCCATTTTCAGGAAGACCCGTGGAAGACCGACAATAAGCAGGTTGCTACACCTGCTTTGGTCCTGTAGGTACTGATCTGAGGCAGAGGTAAATCAGATTTCATTTCTTTCTTTGTAGGAGACGCATTTGGGGTAAGGGCCAGCTGTTTCCTACTCGAAGACATCGTTAGTGATATTACCAATCAGATAGTAAAAACAAAATGGGACCAAACTCAAAAAAAGTGCGAAAAGGGATGTCGTGTCGTGAGCGCTAGACAGTTGCAACCGAGCCCATGTATGGCATCACGTGACTCTCCAATTAGGTATATCCTTGTATTGTCATAGCAATGTCAGCTGCAAATTTTGACAGCAATTAGACAGATATTTCTCAACAAGTGTTTTGGATTACTGAGTTGTGTGTGTAAGGCCCAGAATTCACAACTATATTACTTTAATCACACCTTTGGTGACTGTAATATAGAGTGGTAAACAACTCATACGGAGAGCTCCACACACCAGCCCCCAAAAATCAATTACACATTCGAGCCTCCTTTCACTAAACATATTTAATTTTATTAATATATTTTGATGTATTTAGTTTGGAATGCTCGTCTGGTTCAAACAACACACAACTGTACTCAATTAATTGTGTTTTGCACTGGTTTACCACATGTTTTAGCTACTGCTACAATAAGCCCCTCAGTCTGTTACAATTAACCCTGCTCATAGGATTAGGTGTAATGTTTGCACTTGCTCTGCTTTTGGCTAAATCGTTCACAAACAGTAGGTGCTGGAAACAAAGTTTGCATTTTCATTTGTAGCAAAGATGTACAGGTTGCTTGTATAAAAATATACATGAATCTTCCTCAAATACATTTAAAATGATTTAGTAAAAACCAAAAAGGCTGTTGTGCCCCACCCTCACCTACTGCTAATATCAATGAATATCACTGATATTAAATTGCTTTGGAATGTAAAGGATGCTTCCAAAGTCTGATACCATCTTATGATGTCTGTGTGTAAATTCACTCATGTAAGACAAAAATGTGCAAATATCAGTTGCATTAATGCAGTACTGGAACAATGATAATATGCTTCAGAACCAGGTTTTTGCATGATCTTTATACTTTTTTGTCCCTCACATAATCTATAAGCATATCCGAACACACAATACACGACAGACACATTGATTAATTAGTTCCGGAACACAAAAGTTTGGCAAAAAAGACTTTACCTCAGGGATCCATAAGGCACAGCTGACGTGGACCCATTTGGTTCCACTGCGGGTGGGCTTCAGAGCTCCTCCTCTTTTGGGACACAGCAGACATTTAGGCTGCACCCCAAGTGCACATGTCCGACACAACCAATTCCCCTGGGGCACCTTTAAGATGCCATAGCATGCCTTTGAGAACAAAATGAAACAATTTTCACTCTATAGTCAACAACAAGAACAGTTAAAGCCCTGTTCCTAATTTTGTAAACCTGAAATCAAAACAGACCCTTTTTTTAACCTTGTTAATTAATGTTGCTCAATACATCATGGCACGGAAAGAAAATGCTTTATGATTTCCAACTCACACTGACTATGTTTAAATAAAAAAAAATATTGTTCAACTGAAGTGTTCCAGGTCTGAGCCCATTCTGAACAGGGTTCTTCAGATGCGGAGGTTAGCATGACCAGAAATAAGGGTGTGACTTTCATATTACCCCTTTAGTGCATTGCTACATCAACTCAAGTCATTTTCCTTATGGGTTCCCTCCTATCAAGCTGTACTGTGTTGTATGGCTCTACCAAACAAACCATGATACTAGACAATAAATGCTGAGATGCTGCAATTTAAACTAAACATTTTCATATTTATAATTGTTTGTTATGGGTGCTAGATGGAGTTAACTTTCCATACCTGGTGTACACAGATGTTGCACTTGTCGCAGAAAACCATCTCATTGCCATCCTCACCTTCAGGTGAACGGCACACATCACAAACTACATCCTCATCATACTCAATTCCCAAGCCTTCCTCTGCCTCAATGGCTTCCTGCATGTTCTCTTCACACTGGCTTTCCAACTCCACCAGAACTTGCTCCATGGTCAGTTCGTCCAATTCTGGTAGTGCTGCCACATATTAAGATATGTTAATACACTGGCAAAATAATAAATTAAATGGCTGCTAAAATCGGTGCCTTGATACTAGTAATACATACTTTCTTACATTTTTCAACTGGATAGGCTAGCTTTAACTAGAAATGCAGTCATTTATTGATACAAATCTAATATGAAAACAGTTAGCTACCTAATTCAGATTAAAAGCCACTTTGTGAACTTTACTATTTACATAATAGTGAATTCAATTAGCAATGACGTATATGTGGGTACAAGAGTTTAGACCAAAGTGCAAACAGCGAAGGTGTAATAAACTCTAGCGTGGGAGGTTCTCAGAAGAAGCACAGACAACTTGAAGTTTATGCCCATAACACAGCTTTTTTAAACTTGAACTGGCAAACAGATTGAACACACTAGACACCACAAGGACAGAGCGGCAGACACATAAGCATGCAGATCTTGTCCGTCTGGAAAGCGTGTACATAGAGGGACGGAGTTTGTACAGTTCGAAATCCAGCGGGAAACATTTGGACCAGAAACAAAGAAATACGGGCCATCAAAAGCAACAGATACGAAGGCAAAGAAGTCATATCAAACAGGAGAAGGGGACACAGCGCTGCTACTGTCCTCCATCTTGGATTTTCATCCGTCTTCTGCTTGCATATTTCTAAGGGTTGACATTACCCCACGTCAGAATCCGTTGCAGCAAAAAGTTAAAATGGTTTGAAATTTTTTGACGCTTGACGAAGCGCCTTTTCACCGCATACAAGCGCTGCTGCATGTTCAGCTCCTCCAGCATTGGTAGCTTCACCCACAAAAAGCTAGCGTGCCCTGGGGATCTACCAGTCAGTTCTGGCGCTACATGTTCAGCTCTTACAGAGCAGGCAGCCTTCCCTGTGGAAACAAGGCCACACTGTCAGGGACCCCAAAATCTCTGCATCGGCTCCTCCTCTTGCTACTGCAACCAGCTTCTCCAAGCCCAGTGTTTCCTTCCTGAGGTTAAGCATGACCACAGCCACCGTGGGGAAATCCAAACCAAGTAGGACAGAACTTGTGCACTCAGCTCCGGCTCCACACCATGACCAGAAGCTGCTTCTTACACCATTCCTCACTATTACTGCAGCAAGCTGACCCAGCTTCTCTCCATGCTAGCACTTCCTCAGATGGAGTTTCTCGTTCACCAAACTCCCTCCCCAGGCTGGCTGTGAGGTTGTGTCAAGTTATCGTAACGTCAGCCTAGACCTCTAACAGCTCCTGCAGGGCTGGCCCTTCTAGCGCCATGGCTAACTGTGCTGCCTTCACTTGGCCTCACCATCCTGCTTCTGTGGCAACCATCTCAAATCGCCACAGGTTAGCCAACAGGTACCATCATAGCACCTTATTTTAGGGAGATGGATTGCAGTTGCAATGTTCGCTGCATCACGTTTGGGGCTGGTAGTGGCATCGGGTGAGAATGCCACAAGTTAAATGCCTAACTGCCCTATCGACCACTAGCCTGCATTAAGGGGGAGTGGCCCGCACCCCTCCGCAAGCCTTTGGGAGAGCATACTCTTCCCCTGGGCTGGGGGAATGGGCTGTCTCCCAGTCACTTCATGGCAGCTTGGTGCTTTTTTTTGTGTACTCTTCCACTGGGCTCCCTGGCCAGGTTCTTCGCAGTGTCTTCTCATCCTCCACCAGCCTTGCCTCCCTCTGTCGCACCAAGCCCCTTTTCAGTGCTCCACCAGATCCTCATGCCACTACTGGGATCAATCTCTCATTGTTCTCCTGCCGGTTCTGACACCAGTGTAGCCGGGGGGCTCTCAGAAGAAATGCAGAGAACTTGTAGTTAATGTCTATAACACAACTTTTTTTAAACTTGAGTCGGCAAAAGGAGAACAAAGAGGGAAAATGCTCTCAGCCTAAGTTCTCTTACAGCTCTCTTGCTGCACAACACACATAACACACAGCCTGGGCGGTTACCAGCCCTGCACGCCACAATAACAGTCCTTAACAAAATAAATCCAGTGAGTAAATGCAGAAAGACACACAATCTAAAATCATGTCAATTTAAAAACATGTAAAAACATTTTCTGAACACACTACCTACTGTCCTTACGAACTGAACAGAACTCAGGTGTGCTCTGACACCACAATATTTACCATGCTATATCCACTTTGGTGAAAAAATGTTTTGCTAGCAAAAATACAGTATGCAAAATAAGATGAATATATTTGCTTATCACTTGAAATTACATCATACTAGTTACAATATTCCATAATTTATGTACAAAATACTATGGAATGTAAAACAAGGGGATCTGTACCTAGTTCTCTGAACTCTGCATTAACAAGTTCAAGCCAGGTCACATCCAGATCGTCCAGATCATATCGGCTCATTGTGTTTGTAAGAATCTGTGAGTCTCCTAATCCTAACTCTGCACGGTCTCTGCTCTGAACTGATGAAAAGAATGGAATTCGATTGACCTCAGGAAGCGTCCTAAAACACACATCAAACATTAATAGCTTGATTAAAACAGATTGATAAACAATAAGACATGAGAGGCTCTTTTTCATTATGCAGTAGTATTATACAATGCATGGCTGAAAGTATGTGGACAATAAACCACTCTTATTCCAAATCCATAGGCATTAATATAGAGTTGGTTCCCCTTTTCATAATTCAACAGGCTTGCTGAGATTCTGGAACATTGCTGTGTGATTTGGTTTCCATTCAGCCACAAGAGCATTAGTGAGGTTGGACACTAATATCGGGCATAAAGCCCTAGCTAGAAATGTGCGTTTCAGTTCATTCCAAAGGATTGGGTTGAGGTCAGTGCTCTATGTGGGTCAGCTTGGCAGACCACTTCTTTATGGACCCTACTTTGTGCATGGTGGCACTGTTATGCTGAAACATGAAACGGCTTTCCAAAGGTGGACGAACACGATTCTTTAGAATGACTTTGTATGCTGTAGCATTAAGATTTCCTGCGACTGGAACTAAGGGCCTTTGAAAAAAAGCCCCAGACAATTATTCCTTCTCCATCAAACTTTATTCCTCTCCAGTCACTCATCCAACATCAAACAGCTGTCTTGTATTTACCTAATTGTCCATCAAATGTGTTAACACACACTTTAAGAAACATGGAACATGGAGCTTTAAAAAAGCTCCAAGCAAATAGTTTTCATGGTGATCTTGCTTCTAAATTGCTTCTAGGTGCTGTAACCAAGGCCAGATGATTTTTATGCGCTAGACGATAACGTTCTGTGAGTTTATGCGGCCTAATGCGTTGTGGTAAGCTGCTGTTGCTCCTAGACAACAGCACTTACAGTTGACCAGGTAAGCTATAGCAGGGCAGAAACAGGATGAAATGGCATGTTGGAAGGGTGTCATCTTATGTGTCATGTTCAAATCACTGAGCACTTCAGTTCAACATACAGTCTTTGCCTATGGAGATTGCATGGCTGTGTGCTTGACCAGTGGACATAGCTCAATGTTTAAAGCATCAAATTTCAGTATAATCTAGTGCTGGATGACAGGTGTTCAACCATCCCCCTTTTTTCACTAACAAGAAAAAGTGACAAATTATTTTCAAGTAATTGCCAAGCCTAGTAAGGTCATATGCAAAGTATTGGCAGGGCTCCAGACATAAAAATAGCTTGAGAAGCCACTGGCTCCTAAAAGAAAACAAATCAGGCAGCAATAGCTTTTTTTAAGTGCCAAATAATAATATGCAGGAAAATAAAGCTTTTCAACACATCTCAGGTCAGCTCTGAGATTTAAAGGGGAACTCTTTTTTTCAAATTTTCTGCATTATGTCAACAAATTCATGCAGAGTGTTTTGGTATTAAATGCTTTGCTCTAGAGAGACTAACAGAGTCAGAATTGTTCACAATGATGATGATAGGAATCAGACATCTAAGGAGTTAAATGTCTCTAAAAGCTTCCTCCCAGAAAGGCATTATGTGCAATGGTTACGAATACACTGCCTCATGTCTGAGACACTGTTTTACAGTAACTTTGTGATACAGTTTTGGTTTAAATGTATTTTAATCAATTAATTTTAATCCATTCATGGTGGAGGGATACATGAAGGGTATTTTAAGGCAGAACAGTCCCTAAAGATTTTTCAGATTTACAACTATTTTACCATCATCAACGTTACATAAAAACTCAGAGGACACATGTAGGTTCACTGGTGGTTTTGGATAGCAGATTTGCATTGTAGACGGGGTCTGTGTACCTTCTGTTCATTTGATTTTCTTTTCAAAATCCAGTATTGAAAAATGGCAATGGAATAAAGGGTTGATTTTAACTGATTTAAATTAACCAACAATAAACGTGCAGAGTGCATCCATGGTCGCAGAAGCTCAGAAATCACAGTTAACAATTATGAGGCCAGGAAAGATCAAGCATAAGTGTTGAAAAGGTCAGCCTCCATCTGGCATTATGGAAGGCTATATAACATTTTATATGTATTTGTTGACTTTTTAATATTAGCATAAAAACTGCATGACACGCAACACGACTCCCGTCATGTGCGCTGTCCTGTGATCATGGTGGTTCATAGTGTTCTTATAATCATGTGGCGGTGGCACTGCCTCCGGTTTTGGAGGGAAAGGAGCTTTAGAGACGCGTCAGAGCTGCGCCGGCGGTCTCTGAGCTCAGGACTCTGTGTTCAGTTCGCTTCTGTGCGTTTTTTGTACGATGGTCTTGAATCAAACGATGGGATTCAACATTTTTCAGGGGTGATAACGTGGGTGTGTTTATTTAGTTGGGTTAAGTGTCTACCATGAAGCGGAGGGAGTGGAGGTGACCTTCATTGCTAACGGGCTGCCCTGTATGAGCCTTTTCTGCAGGTGTCAATAAAGAGCACTTCTCTAGCAGAATGACAGGCTCTGCTGAGTCTCCTTCTGCACTAAGAGACTACAGTACTGGTCATTATGACGAAAAGACAGAATGTAATCTAGTGTCCATAAAGTCCAGGAAGTATGATGCGCGCACGCATAGGGGAGTTCAGCACAACACCAACAGAAAACTTCTTGAACTTGAGCGCGTCAGCAGCTGATCTGGGGAGCACAAAGCCCCCGTCAAATGGTGGGAGTTCAGTTTCTTCCCTCTACACATATATATATATATATATATATATATATATATATATATATATATATATATATATATATATATATATATATAGTTTGTACAGGTCAAATATACAAACGCTTCTACAAAAAGTAATAGCCGACCAATACACCAGAATGACAGGCCTGATTCCTGTGATTTCTGAGCTTCCATACCTCGGCTCTGCACATTTATTTCCGCTTACGATGGGAAATTCTAAATTTGGATCATTAGAATACGACCCTTTATTCCATTGCTGTTTGTTTGTTATTTGACTTTCTAATTATTATGTATTCTGTATGAAGTTGTAAAATAAAGCTATTTCTTGATTTTTTCACTAACAATAACAGAACAAGAAATGAGAATCGACCCATTTGCCGTTTCTCAATACTGGTTTTTGAAATGAAAATCAAATGAACAGAAGTTACACGGACCAGACAGTCCGTGTATCTTCTGTTCATTTGATTTTCATTGCAAAATCCAGTATTAGATTTTTTTGAACGTTATATAGCCTTCCATAATGCCAGATCTAGACTGACCTTCTCAACATTCATGCTCAACCTTTCCTGGCCTCACCATTTTTTTTAACCGTTACCGCCTGATTTCTGAGCTCCTGCGACCATGGGTGTGTCTGCATGTTTATTTTTGGTTAATCTGAATCAGTAAAATCCACCCCTTATTTCATTGCTGTTTGTTTGTTATTTGATTTTATGATTACTTTGTAAACCTGTAAAATGAAGCTATTTCTTGTTTTTCAACTGACAATAACAGAATCAAAAACGAGAACTGACCCATTTGAATATCAGTTATGTTTTCAATAGTTAGCCATAAAAAATAATAATCCAAAGTTGCTACCTGTCGCCGCTGGCGAGTTCATTTTATTACTCGCAAATTAATAATTTTGGTCGCAATTGCGACCACTTTAGTCACAGTCTGAAGCCCTGATTGGTAAGCATTTCCTAATTAATGGAGACAAAGAAAGCATCTCAGAGACTTTCGCAAAAGCTAATTTTGTTCTAATCCACAGATTCTGTCTAATATTCCTCCATTAACAAATTGTTTCTGCCTAGAACAAATCAAGTTATTGCCTATTTCTTTTGTTTTTAATTATCTGCCCTTTGAAATGATAAAGAGTACTGTGAATGACGTTCTCTGTGAGAGTTTCACCTCTAAGAGAATCCTGCCAAGTGCCTCGCTGGAACTAGGGCAGGACTGCTTTATTAATACCTAAGCTACGCAAATTCTGTTTTTCGTCCTAAACCTTACAAAGTGTTGCACTAGAAGTGATTCTTTCGTCTTATATCCTGTGAGTATGGCAACTTCTTTAGGCTCACTGTAACTGATAAACCCAGTAGTATACATAGGATCACCTTCCCTTTTTCTACTCATAGCTGCTGTGCTTACCTGTTTGTAACTTGCTATAACAACATAGGAAAAGAGTGGTTAGAAGTCACAGAAACAATACATGAGAGGCAACATTTATGATTACAGTGCCACTGAGAAACCACTCCAAAATTCTTGTGACTCACTAGTGACGCTCTTCTACAAACTTTTCAATTCTCCATTATTTTACCCATGATGCAAATAAAGTGAAAAAGGAAATGCTCTTCAATGAAACCAAGTCAGATTTATGAATAAAGATTAAAATTACTTCATTACTGTCAAAAAGTGCAGTTGCAAATTTGGTTCCTCCATCCACATAACATCTAGTAGGGGTGGGAATCACCATAGGCATCACAAACAAATTACAGTGCATCTTTCACTAGAAAGGGAAAGTTTATGAAGTTTAAGTTGGCTTGTCAAAGCCAGCTAATCCTGTTGGAATGTTAATCCACTGATATCTTAAATTCATTGGTCCATTAAATCCATTGATACCTTAAATCTAATGAAACCTTAAATCCACTGCTACAATACACTGGTACCGCAAATCCATTGGTACCTTAAATTCACTGATCGCTTTCACCCAATGATAATGTACATTCACCGTTATTTCAAATCTCCTGCTACCTTAACTCCACTGGTACCTTACGTCAATGCCACCTCAAATGCATTGTTAACTTAAATCCAATGGTACCTTGAATCTCCTGCTACCTAAAATCCACCTTTACCTTAAATTCACTTCTACCTTAAACCTAGTTTTTGCTGTGCACAAGGCTGTATGCGTGTGAGTTTGTGTGTACTATGTATGACTGTCTGTGTTAGAGATGTGCATCGTGACAAAGATATGCATTATGACATCACTTGTGGCAGTCAAATTTGAATGATCCGAACATTCCGCCATCCATTTCCCATGGGAAAAAATATAGTCTTTGAACGATTGTTTTAAGAAAACTGTATGTCTGGTTGCTTAGAAAAGCACAAGCAACCTATTCCGGTATAGATCCTACGATCCTACAAAGTTTCGTAGTTCTAGCTTCAAAACTGAGGACAAGAAACCAAGCCAACTTAATAAGAATATTAAGAACAGTAACAGTACTTAACTAGAAAGGGAAATGGCTTGAAAAAGCCAGTTAACAGCTTTGAAAAGTTAAAACGGTTGCCAAGGTACTGATAAGCTGTTATAATGGCATTCCAAATACCTGCTTAAATGTTGCTAGCCGATTGCTATGGTACTGTAGGTGGTTACTGAGGTGTTGCTAGGTGGCTGCTTTGGTAACCAAGGTGGTTGCTAAGGTGTTGCTGGGTGGTTGCTATGGTGTTCCAGGTGTTTGCTAAGGTATCCAAGCTGGTTGCTATGGTATACAAGGTGGTTGCTAAGGTGTTGCTGGCTGGATGTTATGGCATCCAAGGTGGTTGAGACTGTCAATGTTGGTTATTCGCAAGCCAATGAGAAGTCTTCTAAGAATAACAGTAAGTTGGCATTTCCAAGACAACTTAATAAGAAGATAACAAAAAACAATAAGATTTTTCAAGCCAACTGAATAACAAGAAGATTACTAAGAACAGTAAGTTGAGTTTTTTCCAAGCCAGCCTAATAAGAAGATAAGAAAACAAAAGTTTGTAAATAAACTTTAAGTTGGCTTGAGAAAGCCAGCTTACAACAATAAATCTTAAATGTTAAAATGGTGGAAGACTGTTGGTGGTTGCTAAACTGTTGTTTCGGTATTGCTAGGCAGTTGCTATGGTATCCTAGTCTGCTGCTAAGGAAGGAAGCAATGGAAAAAGCGTGTTTTTGGGCAAACTTTGTCAGATTGGTTCTAAAAGCACAAGCACACTATTTAAGTATAATTTCTATGTTATTGCTAAGTTTGGTGGTTCTCAAAAGAAATGGCCCAAAATGACTTGGGGGGGAAAAAAGCCTGGTTCCATTAACTTACATTAAAAGTAAAGTAGTTTTTTTTCTTCTCCTGTAAAGTTACCATTTTGGAGATACAAGCTTTTCTTCTGACAACAGCGATAAGCTAAAACATATATAATATAAAACTTAGACATACTATGCTTTAAGCCTAAGCTCAGCTATAGCCACGCTTCTCGCATCTTAGGCAGGAAACTTTTCAACAAAAGTACAACTTGTAAAATGTCTCTTAACGTTTGACTTTTTATGAGGCTGAAATCAGCTTCTTGGTCGAATTTTCCTGTTCCACCTTAAATGGTTCCTGAGCTGCCAGAATGTAACTGCTGCACCATTTGAGGTAGAACGGGAAAATTTGAACAAGAAGCTGATGAATAAGAAACTGACTTCAGCTTCATGACTTTTTAGTGTTTATCAGTTTCTCGTTGCAGATTAAACGTATCAGGTAACCAGCTGGAGTGATTATAAATGCAAATAATTCCATTTGTCTCTAAATTATCAATGTTCATCTTAAATCTTTCTCTCTGCCTTTTCGTTAGTTACTAGCTAGGTGAGACTTGTCTGTGGTGCTGTGGTGACCAGCAGTCTGTGCGCCAACCTTCAGGGTTACAGGATGAATTAGCAGTTCTACATTAACTCCAGCGTTTAAGACCATTTATTGTTAAAACTGTGTTAGAACGATCAGCAGAGCTTTATTTCACTGCAAAGGAGGATTATTTTATTTTTGCACAAAAATAATTCGGCTCTGGAGCCGCAACAGGGCAGTAAAAGAGCCGCATGCAGCTCCAGAGCCGCATGTTGCTGACCCCTGTTTTAAGTGAATGATGGGTGCTGGCTCCTGTCCAAGAGGCATTTTTCTAAGGCAGAATGTTAGGGTGCCCTCTCTGCGGTGGTATAATGATGAGCCATTTGGGAGCCAAAAGAGTCGGCACTTCTGGGTGAGCCAAGCCAAATGATCTTGGTTCACCAAGAAGAGCCGAAATTCCTATCACTATCACACACGCAGACGCCCAAGCAAGCCCAGGCGGAGCAGTTTTCATTTTAGGCAGCGACTTATTTTATTTCTCCATCTAATTACCAAAGTATTCAGTCAGATAGATATTTGTTGTTACAATTTCAAGCATTTTCAAGTACTTTATCCAAAATTCCAGCATTTTTCAAACCTGGAAAATACAACATTAAAATTCAAGCATTTTCAAGGAATTCAAGCACCCGTACGAACCCTGAGGTTTATATTAAATTAATGTTATATGTGTATAAATATTCCTAATGTCACATTCCATGTTCAGTACAGTATTTGTCGTGAAGCTAGCCAGCTAAGCCCATTATTATCTCTTATTTTTTTTGTTCATATATAAAACTTATAGGAGGAGAGAATTTGGCAATGGCTCCTGTCCAGTTACTGAAGAATTTGTTTATTTCAATTTTCAGGTAAGTGTAAATGAATTTATAAAGCTGTTTGTTCAGCTTGAAATGTTCTGCTAAGCACTATGTATGGATCAGCTCAGCTGAATGCTACTACCACTCACTAGGTATCCTACCAATGTTAGCTATGCAATGTACAGTCGTCTATTTTTGAAAAAAGTATATCCTTCAGACATTTACTCACATTTTTGCCATCCTTTATATAACTGAAATATACAGCCATGCAATTTTCGTATGTGGAAAAAGTAAGTATACCCATGCATACAGTATCACTATTTCAAGCATGTTTAACTGAAATTAGGTGCACCTGATCAGATGCTATGATTAGCATCAGGTGCAAATGATTAGAATACTGTTAGAGGAACTTGTCTTATTTAAATCTCAGATATCTGGTCTGGTTTTCTATTTGTTATTGGACTGTGTGGCATCATCATGCCTAAGAGCTCTCTGAGGCCTTCAGAAAGAAAGTTGTAGATGGCTATGAGTCTGGGAAGTGGTTTAAGAAGATATGCAAAATACTGAAAAGCAATCATTTAAGGATGTATTCTTTTTTTCAACAAACAAAAATGACATCATTTTCATTAAAATACAATATTGCAAAGTCAAATTTCCATTTTTTGTTCTTAAATAACGTTTTTCGATATGTTCTGTTTACCTGACAATTTAATACTGATCCACAAATAATAATAAAAAAAATTAAATAAATAAATAAATAAAAGATAGTGCCATTAAAAGTAATAAAAGTAACTTGAATAGCAATCCTAGGAAAATCATTTTATCTGAAACATTCTAAACTAATAAATTATATTATAATGAAATTGTAAAACAGTATAGTTTTGCATTTTTTTTTAAATCTTGATCCCTGCTCCAGTGATCAAAAAACTCTAGAATATACAATACAGTCTGATCCACAGCAAAAATGCTGCCGGAGTCTGTCATGCTTTATGGCATGACAGGGACTTGAAGAACCACTTTTGATTTTATTTAGGTAGCATGCACAAGCAACAGAGGTCACGCACCTGACCACAGGCACAGGAATGGCCTCCATGTTCGCTGGGACCTGAACACCTTTTTCCCATTCCTGTCTCCAAGGATCTGACAGAACATAAAAGTCCTCTGGGTTCAGCTGGGTTGAGTCAGGCAGCTTCATGGCCGTAATAAAATCTGTCCGAAACACCTGAAGGAATAAGAACTAATGCAGTAAAGGAGAAAATGGAATAAAGCAACAACAAACTATCCTTTTCAGCTCAGTTTTTACCTTTACACAGCTTAATTCAGGCATTTTTTGATTAACCAAAGGAGAAATCTCTCTCTAGCAGAATCCTATTAATTTCATCCTTCAATTCATAATTAAAATCCATATTTTTGTTAGCATAATGTCTCTCCTTCGTGGCTAATCAACATCTACATAAACACAGAATTACAAAGTGGGGGGATTTATGTAAAGTTTGTTTTATTTAAATATTAATTAATATATACACAGAAAAGGCTGTACTTTTGTCTGGGTTTGGGGAAGCGGGGCTGTGAGTTAAGTGACCCTTATAAGTCCCACAACAGGGAAATTTCACCTCTGCATTTTGACCCATACGTGCAGTGAAACACCACATACACACTAGTGAATGCACAGACACTAGGGGGCAGTGAGCACACTTGCTCAGAGCGGTGGGCAGCCCTATCCACGGTGCCCAGGGAGCAGTTAGGGGTTAGGTGCTTTGCTCAAGGGCACTTCAGTCATGTACTGTCCGGCGACCTTCTGGTCACAAAGCTGGTTCCCTAACCTTCAGCCCATGACTGCAGTTTGTTTTCAAACGCCCTGATAATTCCAAAATCAAATTTGACTGAAATGCCATTTCCTAGTTGGGTCCCACAAAAGACATTACTGAAAGCCTGTTGCTGCATTTCAAAAGTGCATTTTTGATTGCAGAGCGTGGTTTGTGGTCTTTCAAACAAGGCTTATTACACATGACTGTTGTAGAAAGATCTGATGGTCTAAAAAGTCTGTGCCATCACCCTTCACTTGGAACTGGCATACAAGGCTACAACTAAGTCGAAAGGACATATCGAACATCCAAAACAGAGAGTTTACGAACTCTTCAGTTCTGCATGTGACAGTCTCCTAAAATGCCTAGTGGTTTCTTTTTTCATATTCCATTGCACATAGTAGCTCAAGAACAGTACAACAGTGCACTTCCGCCAAGAGAAAGCATACATACTGCATTCTTCATTGTTGGTTGTATGCTTGATTTTATGCACCTGCTATCAGTGGGTGTGGCTGAAATAGCGAACCCACTAATTAAAAGGAATATCCACATACTTTTGGCCATGTAGTGTATATTTAGTACAGTTTTGCCACATATACATTTGGAAGGATGCGAATCAAAAACACAAATGACAGTGTCAAATCAGTGTCATAGCATCACAGCTTTTATGAGAGTCCCTTGGCGCATTTAACAAAAAGTGATCTATTTTTGCTTGTTCACTCTACTTTAAAAATTGCCCTAAATGTAGCTTGTAGTTTAAACAGCTTACATCATTGACATGACGTGCATTTTTTGTGCCCAAGTCCATTTTTATCCCAAAAAACATACATATACACACATATACATACACACACACATACAGACACACACACACACACATACATACACACACACACACACACACACACACCGATCAGGCATAACATTATGACCACCTCCTTGTTTCTACGCTCATTGTCCATTTTATCAGCTCCACTTACTATATAGGCGCACTTTGTAGACTACAGTTGTAGACTGTAGTCCATCTGTTTCTCTGCATACTTTGTTAGCCCCCTTTTACCCTGTTCTTCAGTGGTCAGAACCCCCATGGACCCTCACACAGCAGGTACTATTTGGGTGGTGCATCATTCTCAGCACTGCAGTAACACTGATGTGGTGGTGGTGTGTTAGTGTGTGTTGCGCTGGTCTGAGTGGATCACACATAGCAGTGCTGCCGGAGTTTTTAAACACTGTGTTCACTCACTGTCCACTCTATTGTAGTCAGTCCACCTTGTAGATGTAAAGTCAGAGACGATAGCTCATCTGCTGCTACACAGTTTCTGTTGGTCATCCTCTAGTCCTTCATCAGTGGTCACAGGACGCTGCCCACAGGATGCTGTTGGCTGAATATTTTTGGTTGGTGGACTATTCTCAGTGATGTTTTAAAAACTCCAGCAGCACTGCTATGTCTGATCCACTCAGATCAGTGTAACACACACTAACACACCACCACCACATCAGTGTTACTGCAGTGCTGGGAATGATCCACCACCCAAATAGTACCTGCTCTGTGAGGGTCCATGGGGGTCCTGACCACTGAAGAACAGGGTAAAAGGGGGCTAACAAAGTGTGCAGAGAAACAGATGGACTACAGTCTGTAATTGTAGAACTACAAACTACAAAACTATATAGCGTAGAAACAAGGTGGTGGTCATAATGTTATGCCTAAAAATTGTCATTTTGAAAACCTTATTGGTCATTCACATGGCTCCTCCTATTGTGCTTATAATATCTTTGTGTCATTACATTAAAGGAGTAAAATGTACTGAAGAACAGCTAATTTAAGTTTAATGCACCAAACCATGCTGGAAACCCATTTCATCCACTTCAAAGGATTCCTCAAGAAAAAGGCGCAGCAACTTACTTTTTGGACAACTTGGCGTCACACTTTCAGAACATTTAGATAGCCATCCCTGGTCAATGGAGGGATGGAGGGGCACTTTGTTGCACATATTTACATTGAAACTGTGAGGTATAGAATCAAAATTCTTCTTGATTTACATTCCTTGCCTTAAGTCTCACCAGCCTGCCTAGAGATTTTAGTTAATTTGTATGTTATGAAAAAACAGGCACATTGTCTGATGACAGCCCAACCTTCAGAAATGTAGGCTCAAACTACTCACTCACTCAAAAATTGGCATTTCATTATAACATGGCCGCCACACCCCAAAAACTTGTAGGAGGCACAGCCAAGTAACAACAAAAGCTTTAAGTTCTCAACGCTTTACCCAATTCTTACCAAACTTGCTACAGGACGGGCACCAAGTCAGCAAATCACCTGTGATGGACACTGACCAAGGGAGCCTGCAGCATGCAAATAATGATTACAACTGCTCAAATCTATAAATGTGTCATCTGACCCTCTCCAATCTTGACAGTCAAGTGTGGGATATTTTTGTCCATAAAAAGGCACATAACCCTAGGGGTTGCACAGACCAGTCGACTTGTCGACTTTACTGTGCGGCAATGCTGCTTTAAGCTTGATGTTGACCAGTCACTGATTATGTGATTATGACGCTAACAACATAGATGGCTGGTGATTTCAGGGTCCTTATTTCTGGTTTCCTGAAGGTTTGCAATGCAGTCCAGGGCTCATTGGATAAGGCACATCACACTCTGCCTTACTTGTGGGTTTGACTTAGTTCTAACATTTCTCTGCCGATCAGCAGTGCTTCAAAGGTCAGATAATGAATGGCATTATCTCCAGTTTCCCAAATGACTACAATAAAATGTAATGTGTCTTCGGAGAAGGAGTATAACATCCTAAAATGCTGTAAAGTTTGAAGTCAGTTACTTTTATTTTCACCAAATTACACCTCTCTAAATTTCTCTGGTTCTCCAGACCTCCATCTTAGCAAGGCTACCTAGGGTGTGCCTAAGTTGGATACAAATTTGTGAGATTCCAGGGTCTGTATCGCCGGTTCCCTAAAGGCTAGTATTGCAATGCAGGGCTCGTTGGAAAAGGCACGTCACACTTGAGTGACCTGTGAAGTTTGGCTTCATCTTGCTTCTTGCAAAGCATTCCCTTCTTCTGTGGTTTTGTTCATGACGTCATCAGCGATTGGTTGACGTTAACCTTCATCACATAACTGTGGAACTACTCAGTGAAGTAAAGCTGTGGACACTGACCTATGGGGGTGCTATAGCTTGCAAATAACAGGATCAAGACTGATCAAACTTTGGCAAACTTTTGTTGTTTCCAAACTTGACAGAGATGGCTCTCATAAATGTGGCCAAACCTGTGTGCGAAAGACTTTTTGATTGCCACTTGTGGCTATATTTGTATGATGCTTTTGGGAATAACATGGTATAGAGATTTAACTTTTTGGTGATGTTCAGTGCAGTGCAGAAATGTTCAGTGACTGCCAGGGATGGGAGGGTTACTTTAAAAATGTATTCTGCCAGAGATTACTGATTGCCTGTTAAAAACGTTAACAGTAACCTAATCCAAAGGATTACTTTATTAAAGTTAAATTTAATCTGATTACTTTCCTTTTTATTACTTGTATTTAATTAAAGATGTATAATTAAATAAATACTTTTTAAGAAGAATTAAATTTAACACATGCCAAAAACACCAAAAATGCACTGTTTTATGAAACAGAATGATATAGGTGACTTACACATTAAGTGTTACAAAAACAGTCACTGATAATACACCTAGCAAAACAGCCAAATCTAAGTGGACCAATATATTGAAATATTTAAAACAAGGATGACAAATTTGTGTAACAGTATAAATTATTTGAAAAAAAACTGGGTTATGTTAACAGGAAAATTAAATAATAAAAAGAAAAAAAACACTATACAGCTCTCCTGGGACTTTTCCTTATTTACCTTATTTATTAAAAATCTCTTTTTAATCTCTGTTTATCACACCACAGTCAAAAGATCAATCTGACAGAAATCTTTTGAGACCTCTCATCAATAATAATCATACACAGAGGTCATTCCAAAACTCTAACTGGCTATCATGTTTGGACTTTTGATGATGGTAATTTGTAGACACTCCCTGACCAGCTCTCAGTAGTTTTAGTCCACAGAAATCAACATGCTAGAAGTTTAAAGCATTAGCATTAATTTCATGCAGAAACTAAGAGGGAGCTGAGCATCAAAACACAGTGTGTAGATAATAAACTGAAATATGTACAAATGAGTTAATAGACTTGGGGAGTGGATTCAGGCCGCAATATCCTCTTCAGGTGAAATAGTAAGATTGCTGATAAAATCCAGAATAGTATTCCAGGTCCTGTGAAAGGATTCCAAGGGACCCTTACGGGAGAATCGCAACTTAGTTTTTTAGAATAGCCACATGGATTGAGCCTCTATGTAAACCATAATATTTTCTAAACACCGGCCTGGTAGCGGCTTTGTTAAC